AGGAATTCTTCTCCTTGTGGTCCTGCAGAGCCTGGCTGGTGCTGGTGTGGTGGCAGGACTGGGCAGAAATCCAAACTGGGACCAGTTCTTGGGGGGTGCGACACTGGGATTGGGCTGAACTGGGGGGGATCTGGGGGAATTTGGGGCTGAAAAGGGAACGTGTCATCCCTGCTTTTTGGGAAATAGTCTCTTGTTTGATGCTGGGTGGGAATGAAATGGGATTAGAGGGTGCTCAGGGCTACCCTGGGAGGGATGGGGCAGGAAAACGTGAAGCCAGAGCCAAAAACCCACAGAGGCAACTTGGGTTTTAAGAACAACTCCTGTGCTCTTTATTCCAAAGGACCAAGCACATCAGGCAAAAATGGTATCAAAAACAATATGTACAAACCCAGGTTTTGCACTGGCCTTGCTCTAGACCAGCAAACCAGGAGGAGCTGAAGCAACAAGGAGGGTATTTGACTGGTGGCAAAACCAGCAAGAAGTATGAGAGTGATAAAAATCAAGTAGCTGTGACACATTTTCCCAAAGAAGAGGTGCAGGAAGCTCAGTTTCCATCTAGGTGGGGTTTTTTTTGCAGTTTATATCAGATTTTTCCAGCCCAACTCAGCCCTTCCCAGCATGAGGTGCCTGTCCCTGCAAGGACACCCTGTGGTCCCTGCTCAGGGGCAGCCCCAGGATGCTCAGAGCTGCTGGGGCAGGGGATTTAGTGCCAAAAATCCTGTCCCTGGAGGGATTTGAGGAGCAGCCCAAGGGGCTGGTTGGGGTTGAGCCCATGGGGTTTGGGCAGGACCTCCTTCTCCCCCTGGAGATGCCACCAAGAGGGATGTGGAGCTTTGGTTTTGAGGCCATCAAGGGGGTTTATTTTCCCCCCCCTCTTGTTCCAAGGACTGGATAAGCAGCAGAGCTGGGGTTGAAACACTTTGCAACAAGTGCTGGGGAGGGGGGGGGGGAAAGAAAACAGTGTCTGAGAGCAGGAGCTGGGAGGAAAATGTTATCTCCAGATATTAGGAGTTGCTTTCAGACAAGAAGCCAGCCACTGGGTGCTTTCCAAACTCTGGGATGGCAAGAGGAGCTGAGGATCTGCCTCAGTTCCAGGGCTGCAGGGCTTCACTTTGGGTGTTCTGCCCTCCCCCCTCCATCCCACCCCCCTTTTTCCAGCACCTCATCCATCCCTGGCAGTTCCCAGGGGCTGGAGCCACTGGCAAGGAAGAAAATCAGCTTCCAAAGCATCCCATGGGATGAGCTCAGCAATTCATGGACACCCTCTAATTGTCCCTATTTCCCTGCTGCAGGAGGGAATGGGACCAACAGGTGGATTTCAGTCCTTTCCAGGAAAACCAGGCACCACAGGAACATTCCTGGGGGTTCACAGGTAAAAACCAACCCCCCCCCATCCTTGTATTTCAGGAGGTTCCATTTCCTCCAGCAGAGCTGGGCTGAGATTCACACCAACCCAGGGGTTTATTTTTTCCCCTCTCTTGGAGGATTTCACTTGGAAATCTCATTTATTCCCACATTTTCTCCCACCAACTTAGTGTTCTCAAGTTTTGAAGTTGTCTCAGTCACCAAAAAGGAATAAAATAAGAAGAAATACTAAATTGCTTCTCCCCTGCTCGTGCAAATAATTGGGTAAATAAATCCCTTTCACAAGGGATCATCCTCTTGCTGCTGGGATGGGCACTGGGCTGGTTTCCCTGGCAAGGAGGGGGTGCCAGTGGAGCCTTTTTGAGCTGTTGCTGTTTTCAACAGCCCCTGTGGGAATGTTCAAACCAGCCTCACCACCCGGATATGCAAAACTCATCTGTCACTGGGCCATTGTCCTCCTTCCCCAGGCTGTTCTGGTTTGGCTCCTCGAGGCTGGATCAGCACCCCTTGGCACCTGGAGCCAAGGGACAGGTTTGGGTGGGGGATGAGCTGGCCCAGCTCCACCCCAGGCACTCCAGGTTGGTGGCAAAAAGGGGGTTCATTCTCCCCCCCACCCCCCAAAATCTGCCCAAAAGCAGGTGGAAAAAGAGGAGGGGGGTTTAAATCCCCTTCAGGGCTGTTCCCGACCAGGGTATAAATGACTTCAATGTGAATATTTAGGCTTTATTTTTCTTTTTCAGCCTAACCTTGAGGTCCTCCTGAGCTGAGGATCAGCAGGTGGCTTTTTGAGCTCAGCAAAGGGGGCAAAATCTTCAGGGAGGAGGGGAGGAGGGGGGGAAGAGATGATTCAGGGGAGGGCAGAGAGGAGTGCTCACTGTGTCCGGAACTGCCCCTTTCTACCCCAAAAAGAGCCCAATATTTAACAGCTTCAGTTGCTGAATCCCACCCTTCTAAAAGCTTGGCTTTTGAGGTTTTTTGGTGCTTTTTTGGGTGTGTTTTTTTGGCCTGTGAGCACCCAGGAGGTGCTGAGCTTCCCCTCCCCACCAACGCCCCTCGCTTAGAAAGAGCAACCAAGCAGCAGTGACGGAAAAAAACCAAACCCCAACCAAACCAACCCCCTGATGGAAGAGAAAAGGATTCCTTCCCCCTTTTTCAAAAGCACCAGGAGGGATTCCAACCATTCAAATAGTAGAGGCAGGGCAGGTAGTGCCAACCCCCCCTCAATGCCAGCACTGATGCTCCGGGCACCTCGGTGGCTTTTTGCCCGACCAGACGCGTGTCCAACCTGCTGATTTCTGCTGCCACTTGTTTCCTCTTGGTCTTATACCTCCTGTTCTGGAACCAGATTTTCACCTGGGTCTCGGTGAGCTGCAGGTTTTTGGCCAGGTGGGCTCGTTCAGGGGCTGAGAGGTATTTTTGGTGGCTGAATTTTCGCTCCAGTTCGATGACTTGGGTGTGGGAGAAGGCGGCTCGGGAGCGCTTGGGCTGCTTGGGGGGGCACGGGGAGAGGGGCAGAGTTGGGGCACAGCCTGGCAGGTGGGGCTCCACTCTGGCTTCTGTAGGAAGGAAGAGCTAAGAATTAACCACTTGGGAAGTGTTAAAAGTCGCTCCCTCTTTGCTCCCTTCCAGAGAGCAAAAGATTCTGCTGCATTTGAGTGTGTTTGTGTTGAACGGACTGAGCGTC